TGGTTAGCGATAAAGCGGGCGTGGGCCTGGGCCTAAACACCTTTAATCTAGCGCCCGCCACTGGGTCCTTCCACTTAGATCCATCCAATTCTGCTATCATATATGCACCCCAGTCGAGTGCCTCAACCACTCTGTAAGGTCCCATCCATCGGTTGGCGAGTTTTCCGGTCCAGGTTCTTTCCAGCGCTGCATCGTAAAGAAGGACCATATCTCCTACGTTCACCCTCTCTTTCCTAATTCGCACGTTCTTATCCCATCTCTCTTTACCCTTGTCTCTTTCTACTACCAGACGATATGCCGCTGTCATGAGGTCATCTTCCAAACCGTAGGCTATCTGCCTCGTTCGGGCAGCTAAGAGTTCCTCTTTGGACATCTCCTCCGCCCAGTCGACGGTTGTCCAGCTGTCGACGTAAAACTCTATGGGAAGCGGACAATGTCGCCCAAACCACAATGTGTACGGGGGCTATCCGGTACTAGCCCGGACCGTGACGTTGTCCGCCCATATTGCGTATCGAAAATATCGTGGCCAATCACTGTCCTTACCCTTGCACCACTTGGACAGTGACGCTATCACAGTCTGGTGTCCCCTCTCTACTGGGGAGTTCGACTATGGGTGATAGGCGGTGGCTATCGAAACTCTCGCACCGGCTCACCTAAACACGCTCTGGACCTCGTCGGCTAGGAATTCCGCCCCTCTGTCCATCACTATCTTACTGACACAACCATACCTAGATAAGTACTCTAGGACAAAGTTCTTTACTTCCTTTGCCGCCTTACTCCTGATAGGTCTACCGTCCACGAACCCAATGAAATCGTCTCGTATGTTCACGACGTAGTTCATATTGCCTACCCCTCTCGGCATTTTCACTAGATCGATGTGTACCTTCTCTCCTGGTCGGGTTGGATAGGATGGATGAAGTGGCTCTTTGTATTTCACAAGAGCTCTCTTCTGGCACTCTCCGCAGGTCCTACAATACCTCTCGACGTCCTTATACTGTCCTTCCCACCAGTACAACCTGCGTACCTTTTCGTAGGTTCCTTTGACTCCCCTGTGTCCTCCGACTACCCCATCGTGAAGCTCCACAACTATTGTATGTCTCTCCTCAGGGTCATAGACTACTCGTAAGGGCATTCCCGACCCTACTGGCCTTCGGAAAAGGTGGCCTGCTCTAAGGCAGTACTGGGCTGCTTGCCTCCAGATATCTGTATCTTGACTCTCTTCTCCCGTCAGGTGTAGTTTGATCATTCGGTACTTGCCCTCGTAAAGATTAACTAGAAATCTCTCGGCGCGCCTCGGCTCTGGCATTGTCAGAGCCCCAGCTACTATCGGACGCTCGAGAGGGATGCGTGAAAGTCCATCTGCCACGGCATTTTTCGTACCAGATACTCTTTCAACCGTGTAATCGTATAGCCGAATCCGTATTAACCATCGGGCGATGGTCGGGTCCGTCAGACTAAAGTC